CTTTTTTTCCTCTCCTCCTTTACACTTCACATGTCTACAGGAGAGAATAGTAAATGACACCTCTCTTATTTTGTTATTATTTTAAATACAAATAATAAAAAATAGGAATATATATGATGTTTTAATAGTCAGTTACCGGCTTACAAGGTATGACCTCATTTTGCTGGAAGGTTGGACACTTCATCTGTGGAGATTCCTATTTCAGTGGCACAGAACACATCTTAATGCTCATTTCAGTGTCAAATTATTGTACGCCTGCACATGCCAAGCATTCTTAAATTCACAGATAAAAACTCCTGGAAGTGTTTGGCGAACATTTGTTTCTTACTACACAGAAATAAGCTGGTCGAAAAAGTTGATTCTTGAGTTCGTTGAACTTAAATATAGTCTGATAGATATCACATCACCACTTCTGTACTAAAAAGAATTAAAAGGTCAGTCCATGAGTACTTTTGTAATAAGTTTTATCAGTAGTAATGGTAAATTCCAGTTGAACTAATGGAGCATGTTATGTGACTAGTGAGGAAACATAACTCAAAGGAATATATTAGTGATATTCCATGGAGAAAATTTCATATTAGTAACTACTGTCTTTTAGAACAGATGACTTATTTCATCCATTTATCCATTTAGCCAGAGAAGGTACCAAGAGGGATAACTGAACACAGGCATAATTAGGTCAAATCATATTTAAGGTGTGTTTGACAGTAGATGGTAGCGTGGCTATAAGGCAGATATAAAATGTGACACAGTGTTAAAAGGAAGACTTTTAAAAATTGATCTGTCATATGAAAATTGAACTGTGTCTAAAGACAGTGATGTGATATTTTAGTTTGTATTTGAGACATTAATTTTTATTATTTCATTTTATTATAGATTAACTATCATGAAGACTATAAAAACAAGATCAAGGGCAAGTGGAGTCAAACACCATGCTATGATGTTGCAATTGCCAAAATGAATTCAGAAAATTTAAGTATGGTAAGTGACTTCTTAGAAAATATTGAAATGTGCAACTTTATCTTCCATTTTTATGTATTAACTTAGAAAAGACTCATTTTGCCTGCTCCATTTGTGTTTTTTTTTTCCTCTTTTTCTATTTAAGCTACTTCATGGATGCCTGATTTATTATGTGAGTGCATTTGATGCATTGTTGTCTATTTTCCCCTTTTCCTAACAGAAAAAATATCAGGAAGACTTTGAAAATATGAAAGACCAAATCTACTTTATGCAAACTGAAACTCCGGAGTATGAAGCTAACAAGCGACTTGGAAATAATGTCAGTAAGGTATGTTAAGTGTACTCCGTTAGTTTAGTTTGGGTCTCAGTCTGAAGTCAGATCAGTTTATACTGAAGTAGTTCTGTCTGCAAAAGGTGTGTTTTTCTATGCATTATATTTCAAAGCCTCTAATGATTCCTAGCCATTCTTCTAGCCTTCCATAACAGTAACTGTAAAATAGAATTTACTTCTTTGAGCAGAATTTTCATCATTGTTCAGCCTCATCATGCTATATGCCTGATTTTTAGGTGGAACAAGTCAATACTATTAACCAAGACCATTTTAAAGCCATTACTCTGGCTTAGTATTTTCATATTTGTTCATCTTTACTCAGTGTATCTCAGTAATGTCATGCTGGCATATCTTTTGTTCAAAGTGTATATTTTGTTTGACTTCTACATTATCTGTAATAGTATGTGTATTAGCAAAGCCAAGGATAGTCTTATATCAGTAATTTTAAGAATATGACTATTTTGTGATGTTGAGCAATACCTGAAACATCAGAATGTGTTTTAAGAGGGACTTGGGGGAAACCTGCTTAAACAATTATCTTGTGACCCTGCTTCCAACCTTATCAACTCTGTAGTCTGTTGTTCTGAGTGCCTTTCATGGTTCTTTGCCATGATGAATCACCAGTTAAAAAACCCAGAAAAAGAGGATATAACTCAGCAGGTGTCTGGCTTTCAGTATTGTCTGTTGAATGGAGGAAAGCTTCTTTGGCCTATTCCCTGGAAACGTTTATTGGAAAGCAGGAGCTTAGATGAATGTTACCCGTTCCTGGTCATAATGAGCATGGTGGGGTTCATACTCTTTATCTAACTGGCACCATAGAAATTTAGAACTCTGGATAAGTGGTTTTTAAAACCTCACTCTCTTTATTTTTATTTTTTAAAGATAAAATACAGAGCAGACTATGAAAAGAACAAAGCTATTGCAGATTATAATGTACTTCCTGCTACAGAGAACCCTTTGCTGAGGCAGTTAAAAACTGCAGGAAACGTGCTGAGTGATGTAAGTATTATCAAAATTCAGTTCATTTAAATTCAGTCTTGTACAATAAGCCAAGACTCATAATTTCTTTACAAGGCATTTCCATCGTATCTCTTGGTATTTTAGTATTGTAAATCTATTTATTATGTGATACAGTCAACCAGGACAGTAATTCTTTGCTAGCTAGGAAGTCAATTCTTTACAGCAGAGCATGAAAGTAATTGTGGTGTATTACAAGAAATATTATATAGAGCATTTGGGTCCCTGTGAAAAAGGGTCAGAAAATGACAATTTTTCCCCTGCTGCTTCAATGAACTTCAAATGATGCCAACAGTGATTAAAAAATTAGTAATTTCACATATTCATGCATGTTGTGCTCCTTTTTGTCACTTCAAAAATGCAATGGCGTTCTTGGTTTATCTGTTTTTGCTGTTTTCATCTATATGGAAAAAGATTTCATATTTCTTAGTGTCAGAAGTTCAAAAATTGAGTCAGACCTTCTTGTCTTCCCTTATGATCCAAAGAGGCACTAAAAAGGTTAAAATAATTAATTGAGAAAGAAATGTGCCATCTGTTTTTCAATACTATGGGAAAGCCTTTCTTTGCAATCTATGCACGAGGCTCACCCTGACAATGGAAGGAGCATCTGAGCAGTCCGCCCTCTTCTGATCTTAAGAATCCTTGGTAGAGCCTTAGTGCATGTGATCTGGCTTTCAAATCTCTAATAAAAAATACAGTCCGCAGAAATGCAAGTGCCACCACAAGCAATTTGATGTTTCACATTTGAGCTTTCTTAACAAGTATGAAAAATAAGTAGTGAATTATTTAATTGAATATTTTTGCACCATTCTATTGTATATTATATATACTATTGTATGTTGATTATATTCTTTAATTTATAATGCAGTGAAATTTATAACATTGACCTGAACATAAGGAAATGTCAGGATATACACCTCTGCTTTGGAACTCATTTTGGTTATTCTTGTGATATCCTGGTATTATTCTATAGATGGCCTAATCACAGTTCTTCATGTCATTTCAATGTTACTGTTTTCATTTCTAATGCATTGTGAATGAGTTTCGATAAAATCTTCTGCACTGTCATTATTTTCTTTTGCAGAAATTGTACAAAGAAGCCTATGAACGATCAAAAGGAACAAGCATGAATTACTGTGACACTCCAAAGTTTCAGATTGACAGTGTTCTAAAGAATTTTAGTGATGTATGTATTTTTGCATTTGTTTGTGTATTTCAGTGTTGATATTCTAGATTACCTTTGCTAATCAATTTGTAATTGTCTTCCTAGGTAAAATATAAAGATGCATATCAAAAGAATATTTTAGGACACTATTTAGGAAGCTATGAGGACCCACACCATACACACTATATGAAAGTTGAAGCTATGAAGAGTGATGTAAGTACAGCACTGGCTGTGTTCTCATACTTATATTTTCACTTCAAAGAAAAATAATTTTTGCTTTCTTACTGATTGTTTTTTCTATCCCTAGAAAAATTACAAAGCAGATTATGAGGAGGATAAGTCAAAATGCTACTTCCCTCAGACTATAACTCAAGAATATGAAGCTATTAAGAAGTTAGATCAGTGTAAAGATGTAAGTAGTTGCTACCAAGTAGTCAATTGAGTACAGAATGACCACTTCTAAGGTCTGTGGAAATCTCGAGTGATTCCTGCTAAATTCTGTGATTTTGAATTTCACTTTTTTAGCGTAAATTTAAAAGCCACATTCATTTATATTTTAGAAGCCTTTTGTGACATCTAGTGATCAAGACAGATACAGCACAATCTTTTTTATTTAACTTACTTAAAGTTAAAACATGAAGTCAGAGGAACAGAATGCAGAATGAACCTCAAACATCTGTGTGTTTAAGTTTACAGTAAATACTTTAAAAAATATTTGTTTTCTTATTTTTATTAAGTAATGTGAGAACAAATGTATAGAACAATGCCTGTCTTCACCTGTGCTGTAACTGCTTGCTATCCCAAGCAATGCTATATAGTTGTCCAGGTAAAAAGTTTTGCTAATGTATGTGTACTTTAAACATATTCATTATTTCCCTTTAGCACACCTACAAAAAACATCCTGATCAAATCAAATTTACTCAAGTGACAGACTCTCCAGTGCAGAAGCAAGCAGAGATCAATAGCAAACAGCTTAGTGATGTAAGTAAACTTACTACATAATGAAGACACTTGGGTATCTTAAATTTCCGTGTATCTGGTAGAAAATACTAGTGTATCTCTTCTGTGACTTTCTCTATGACATCTGTACTATGAGAAGTTCAGTGCAGGACTCAGAGGTTATAGTAATTAAAAGTGGAAGTAAATTGGAGTCGCACATTCTGACCTTTTTGAAGATTTGAAGCCTTCCTAAAAAAATATTTAATCTATAATTCTGCATTTAGTCCGTATGTATTTATTTATCAACTTTTTTTTTTTTTTAGTCTCTTAATGTTGTGTAAAACAAAGACCAAATGCTGAGTAGTTACTATGGCCATTACCATTCACCCCAGTTAGGGATTAATACTGGTGCTCTAATGCTGCTTCATGCGTTGGATGGTGGGATGGTGTGCACTCGGTGTGTTTGTAGATACTACTAAAAGCAGGGGTGGGGACACACTGCAGTGCATTGCTGTTCACAGGGACTTTGACTGGCAGGGGAAATGAGCTGTCAGGAACCTCCCAAATTTCAGCCAAGGCAAATACCAAATCCTGCCCCAGACAGGAGTAACGCCCCTTGCCACAGGCCCAGCTGGAGAGCAGCTCTACGTGAGGGACCTGGGAGCGCCAGTGGACAAGTTGAATAGGAGTCAGCTGATTCTAGTAGGCTATTTAGTAGGTTTTATTGTCTGGGGATTTCATCAGCATTAGATTATATTTTTATTCAGTTAGAAAATAGTCATAATATTATGAAGTATAGTGATATTTTTAACAAAAACTAAGTTTTATCCCCTTGTTCGTTTCTGTTCTCCCAAGAAAAAATGATTTCTGCCTTTTCTAAATGATTATCTGACTGTTTTTCAGCTGAGATACAAAGCTAAACATGAAAGTGAGAAGTTCAAATGTTCTATACCGCCAGATGCTCCATTTTTCATCCAGTCCCGTGTTAATGCCTATAACATTAGTGATGTAAGTATTAACTTTACCCTGCAATGTAGATAGCAAGATTTGTTCAAAGCAAAACTTTGTGTAAGAGTATGGAGTACAAGTAATCGATTTTGTTGATTGTAATAAATATTAGGATTGCTACAAAAATTCCAAGCAGCTAAAAGAGTTCACATACACATAAAATTCATTGAACACCCACAACTGGCATAAAATGCAGTATTTCTTAATATAGTCTTAATATATTTATTAATATAATAAACATTAGTGTTTTATATAAAAAGTGCAGAGAGGGTATTCTTGTTAAAGTGATTTTTCTGGGAATAATAAGGGGTCGTGAAATGGATTTAAGCTATCCATAGGATATCCATGGATATCCAAAATATCCATTGTTAAGTACTTCATTGCTAAGAAATTTATGCTGTTCTTTGTGTATTACTCTTTTTGTCATACTCAAAATAAGCATAATGTTAATTTGTAATATGAAATATTGCCAGTAGTTTTAAATGCTGGATTTTTATTTAATATTTAGTTACATCTGAATTAATTAGATTCCTATGGCATTTTTGTTTATTTTCTTCAGAGTTGCTACAAGTATGATTGGGAAAAGGCTAAAGATAAGGCGTTCGAAATCAAAGTTGATGCAATTCCACTTCTTGCAGCTAAAGCTCACAGTAAAATTGCAAGTGATGTAAGTATGTTTTTTGATTATAATAGCTTTTCAGGTTACGTTTTAAATGGAATTTGGTTTCACTGTTTTGTTCTGGCTGTGCAGGTGCAATATAAGAAAGCATATGAACAGAGTAAAGGGAAAATGATTGGAGCCCTGAGTGTTCATGATGATCCCAAGATACTACATTCCATGAAGGTGGCCAAACAGCAGAGCGATGTGAGATCCTTAAACTACTTTCTTTTATTCATGCTGTTTATTCATTTCTGGCTTGCAGGCTAGGACTTTCACAGAAATAAAGGAACAGTCTTGCTCTTATAAGGAAAAACTATATTAAATAAATCGTAGGATCATAGGATAATTCAGGTCGGAAGGGTCCTCATTATGTCATCTAGTCCAACGTCCTGCTTAAAAGCAGGGCCAGCTTTGAGGTTAGACGAGGTTATTGAGAGCTTTAATTTATGAATAGACCCATCCATCATCCACTGTTACCATTCTTCCTGTTATTTACACTGTGCAATGCTTTTGTTCTGCAGTCAAAGTTGTGGTATGCCCTGGAAACCTTGCACAGTTGGTTATTTCTGCTGTCTTCTTGCTAACAGCTGCCACGTTCCTTCTGTGTTCAGTTCCAATTTACTGTCCATTATTTCTATTTATGAGGTGTAATACACCCGTAAAATAATACGTGTTATTTCTTCTCTGGTGGATAGCACACAAAAACTATGAAAATCCAACAGCTTTGTCACCTACTGAAGTTAGTCCCTAAGCTTATATGTCATGAATTAACACATCTATGAGTGTAGCACAGAATCAAGTATTGGACTTGTAAGTCAGCTTCTACATTACTAGGTACTAATGTAGCATGTGCTATGTTTGCAGATAACTCATTAAAATATTTTAAAAATTCGGTTTAATGAAAATAAATAATCCATATTTTCTATCTGTGAAACATAATTATACCCTCCATTTAATAATTAGATCTGTTTGCAATCCTAATATCTCTAGTTTATTTGAATTTAGAGTTGTAGACTTATGTGAATATATAGAATTATATAAAATTATATGAATTTTGAATTACAGAATGGCAAGCACATAATGTTATATCAGAAAGCAGCATCCTCTGAGAGGAGTGTAGAACTGACCTTGACTTAATCTCCTAGCAAAAAGTATTTCTCAAATTCTTTTTCAGCGTGAGTACAAATCGGCTTATGAAACATCGAAGACCAACTATACGGCACCATTAGACATGATCCCAGTTGTTCAAGCCAAAAAATCTCAAGCAATTGCCAGCAATGTGGACTACAAAAACATCCCTCATAATTACTTTTATCCACCTGACAGCATTAATGTGGAGCTTGCAAAGAAAGCCTATACTATTCAGAGTGACGTAAGAAATTTGTGTTTTTGTGGTTTTCGTAACACTGACCAGGTTGTTACTGTAACAATATTTACTGCTGCAGTATTTAAAGAGAAACTTCTTTAGCAGATAGAGTATCAGGATTTAATCACTGCTTTTCAACAAATGATCATAGCTTTGTGTTTCAGGAGTTTATGAAGGGAAGCATAGCAGGAATATCATCTACTCTGTAGGTGTACTTCTTCAAAATGTCTGTGTGGAATTCCCTCTCTCTATATGTATAATGAACCGAGTTATTCTCTTTATTAATAACAGGAATTTCAAAGTGATGATGGCATTTTCTAACCCCAAAGTAACTTTGAGGGAAAGTTATGGGTAATTGAACTTACTATTTTTAATACAGAGTACTTTGAAAAGAACTCTGTTTCCTATTGAAATTCTAATTTTTGGGGGTTTATTTTAAAGTCACAAGTGACTTGGTTCAGAAGAAACAAATGTGTTTTGTTTGTTTTTCTCATTAAAAATAACAGATTTATTACTGCTAGTAGATAGTTTTGGAATATTCACTGCAAAAATTTTAAATCTTGAGAATGTATGATGTCTCAGTGAGTTTCTGAATATTTTTATTAGTTTCATAGAACTTTGAGGATTTACAAAGCTAATTAGCATATCTCAAGAAACTGAGAAATTCAGTAGATACTTTATTTCTAGTAACATAGCATCTTTCCAGAATCAGCAGGTAGATTGGAAACCTTTTTAACTCCAGAAGGTTTTAGACCAAGGCAATACTGGTGATGTCTGACTGCACCAACTGTATGTTATGTGCTGGCCAGCTAAATGTTTTGGTTCAGATATTTAAGTGGCTCACTGTCATACTGGTTTAGCTAACAGAGAACAATATGAACAATAGTAGAAAAATTGTATGGGCATCTCTACATGTTGCAAGGCAACATGTGCAGAAATATTGCAGTGAAATATGTATCAGCTAGGTTTGTACAGTGCAAAACTGTGGCATACTATCTAAGTACTGCATGTAGAGTGCAAGCAGGCTGCAAAAATGATGGCAGAGTATTGTGTTAGTTAACGACACCCAAACTAGTTCATTTAGACAGTCAAGTGTATTTGCAAAGCTGTGCTGAGCTGATGAACCTCTCATGCATGTGAGATGTAGCTGAAGTTGTGTATTACAGCAGTATTTGTCAAGAGAATTTTGAATTTTTGATGAATTCCTTCAAGTTGATCAGTCAAATGATGACTGAACATTCAATTTAAAAAATGGAAGAAGTTTACATTTTAAAAGTTTGCTGTATTTTGCTGTGAATACAACACATTCTTTGCTCTGGGTTGAGTAAGAATAGAATACTTGTGCAAATCAGGTTCAAAATTCTTTTTGAGAGCATCTGTAATTTGTTAATTTGGCAAAAAAATAGCTCTAATGAATCATAGTAGTTTCATATGGAATTTGTCATTCAAATAATTTATCATTGAGAAATAACCAGATTGGAAGACAGAATATAACACTGAAGTTCATATTTTTAAAGGCATACAGATTAAATATTCTGACTTTTTTTCAGTGCATGTGCTTATGTCTGTTAATTTTAACACAGGCATTGTGTGAGGGAGAACAGAGTTTTTATCTTCTGGAAGCCTTTGGATATCTTTTCCTTAATGTTAGATATTTCCTTGGTTTTCCTTTTTTCATAAAATCAAATTTATTGATGTGGTATTTAAGCTTTAGAGTTTAAGCTTTTTTACTGGTATCACTGAAATAGTTTTATATAGGTAATTCAGATAGATGGAATCTTCTTTTCACTGGACTGCATGTTTTTCTCTCTCTCTTCCAGAATGAGTATAAGTCAGATTACAATAGTGACATGAAAGGTTGCGGCTGGATACCATTAGGATCTCTGGAAGTGGAGAAGGCTAAGAGGGCTTCAGACATTCTGAATGAGGTAATGAAGTCGAGTGTAACCAAATTCTCACTCTGCTGAGAGCACTTTGTGGGGGAAAAGGCAATGAGAGACTGTGGGTGCTGTATCTGTCATACTGTCTTTTAATATGAAACTCTTTGCCTTTCATTGACTAAATGGGAATTCTTTATGGGCTCAGTCCTAACTTATAAAAAGTAGTATATTCATTTGTAGATTAACCAAAACGCTTTGACTTTAACTACTTAATTTACTTGGTGATTCATTCTGCTGTCAGCTGTTTCTTTTGGAAAATCAGCATGTCTTTGTTGACTTGTAATTAAATTGTGGCTGTGGAAGCATACATTCCGGGTACTACGTTTTATGCATTTTACATAAGAAATCTTTGGATTTAAAACACAAAAAAATCCACTGACCGCTGCTGAGATCTCCTGTTGGTCCTTTGGGCTCTTTATATCAAAATAAAGATCTAGTCACTTGTATCTAAACATAAGACTTACGCACATAAGTAAAGCAATGGGTTTAAGCTGTGAATCTAATTTCACAAGGATGCCTAATCACAGACCTCAGGTGCCTAAATACTAGTAATATCCAGAATTTCATTCACTGTTTATCAACAGTTTTGTTGTCTGAATTAGATATCCTGGTGTTTACTGTGTTGAGTGTTATGAGTACTATGATTAGAAAATCTACCTTTTTTTTTCTGTTGAGTTTATAGAGAAATTAGGCACCTGCATCACTCTTATGAATATCCCCTGTCATCCAGGTGCCTAATTTTTAGATGGTACAGAGCTTCATACTCAGCTGCTAAGTCCTTTTATTGACATGTGATGAACATCTAGGGGAAGGAAAGAGCATGATAAATGAATGTATTAGCTTATGTTTGTGTTAGAGTTATAATATCTCTTTTTATCCATGCGGGAATGTAATATGACACTTTTTTTTTCCGAATAGAAAAAGTATCGCCAGCATCCAGACACTATTAAGTTTACACAGATTGAAGATGAGCCTGTTATGGTTCAGGCTAAAATCAACCAGGCTCAAAGAAGTGATGTAAGTTTTGCCATTTCTGATTCATGTATATGTATATATATGTATGTATATATATAAATATATATATATATATATAAAATAGGTAAATTTATTATCTGAAGTTGCTAACTGAAACCTCTGTAGAAGGAATCATGCCCTGATATTCAGTGGTGGTTGCCTTCTCTTCCAGTCCGAATGGTTCTGTTTTTCATGACTTGTGTGTTCCTATACTCTGAAACCATCCATTTCTTTACTGTTGCTACCCTCACTTAGTCATCTGTTTTTAAGAGAACTTCTGAAATGACTGTAAATGTGAATGTGTGTGCATGCACATGCAAATATTTTGTGTGTATATGCAATTCTGCTTTAGTGGAAGATCATCTGGGAATCTGCTTTTTTTTTTTTTTCCTAATTTTTTTCAAGTGACTTTTCATATTTGGTTTCAGTATGTAGGTGTGTAATTGTGTTTGTGGTCATCATTCTTAATATGTTCTTTACACCAGTTAAGTCCATGTGATTTATGACATTCACTTGACAGAGACTAGTATTCCATCTCTGTCTTTCTTCATGAGTGAGATAAAATGAAATTATGCATCTCAGCCTGGTGAAGTCTGTAATCATTGGGCCGCCCAAATTTATTTCTCTAATTTTCTCTACTTTTCTCTGCAGGTACTGTATAAATCCAAAGGTGAAGAAGTTATTCACAAGTATCACCTTCCTCCAGATGTGCCCCACTTTATCCAGGCTAGAGTTAATGCCTATAATATTAGTGATGTAAGTATATACGTGAATCCAGAGGTCTTCATTCAGCTTACATTTTTAAGATTCAGTTAGACAGAAACTGTTCATACCAAATTCACCTTTTCTTTTAGAACTACTACAAAAGTGGATTGGAAGAATTAAAATCAAAAGGATATGATCTAAGAAGTGATGCTATTCCTATCAGAGCTGCCAAGGCTGCTAGACAGGCTGTCAGTGATGTAAGTATGCCCTTCTTCAAGGGAGTGTTTTATTCAAAACAGTTTGCTTAAACATAATCGCAAACATGGTTTATGATATCTGAAGGTTGCTTTACTTGTTGCCTTAATGGAGTCTGTTATTGCACTTTTTATCTAAACATCGATCAACTTTAATTAACACAGTTATAATACTTTCTTAGGGATGGCCTCAGGGAAGTCTCTTACTATTTTAAGACTCCTTTCCCTCTTCTGATCAGTATAATTGAAGTAACAATACTGTGTAATTTGATTAACTGATATTTGTATAACAGTGAATTGTAAAGAGATATATGTCTGGTTTTCTTACGATTGTGTTATATGGGTCACTGATTTATATGTAAAAACAGAAGCCAAACAGACAAAACCCCATAAGCATAGTTTGCTTTTGATTTGCTTTTTGCTAAGTTACTGCACTTAAGATGATACTCCCTGTTCTGTTGTGCTCTAACAGGTAAACTATAAAAAAGGCTATGAACTTGCCAAGGGTAAACTTATTGGCTTCCAGAGCCTCGAAGATGATCCAAAACTAGTTCATTATATGAAAGTAGCCAAGTTGCAGTCTGAACGAGAGTACAAGAAAGATTATGAGAAAACAAAAACTAAATACAACACTCCACTGGATATGGTCAATGTCGTGGCTGCCAAGAAGGCTCAAGAGATTGCCAGCAATGCTAATTACAAGAACCTCCTCCACCACTACACTTATCTACCAGATGCAATGAACTTGGAGTTGACCAAAAACATGATGGAGATTCAGAGTGATGTAAGTAAAATCTCACTTGAAAATAATTTGTTGAGTCACCTCAGGCATGAACCAGAGAGATTTAGGAGAGGTCCCTCAATTCTTTTAATTCCTATCTTTTAAAAATATTTTCACTTTCTGATTAGAATGCTTACCAAGCAGATTTTCCTCTCTGAATGGAAGGCATTGATGCATCCCCATTGGCTCACTAGAATTAGAAAAGTCTCTTTCCTGTAGACCTCTCTATAAAGCCAAGCCTGTTAGACTGTGTTGCAGCAAAGAATGAATTCAGCCATGATATGTGGACACCATACAGTGAAAATTTTTACATGGGGAAGTGAACTTAGTAAATACTGAAAGGGTGTCACTGTTTCTAAGAAATGAATCATGAAGGAAAAGTGGCTAATTTTCATCCTTGCAAAATCTCAGAGGAGTTTAAAATAAAATCTACTCCTTTTAAGAGTTCATATTTCCTGCTAGTGTTGAACACATTGATCTAGACTATATGATTATAGTTCTAAACAGAAAAAAAATTCTTTGGGAAAATCTTGTTTCATGTTGGCTTTCTCTCCTTCAGAATGCATACAAACAAGACTATAACAACTGGTTCAAGGGTATTGGATGGAGTCCCCTGGGCTCTCTGGATGTTGAAAAAGCTAAAAAGGCTGGAGATGCACTAAACGAAAAGAAATACCGTCAGCACCCAGACACCATCAAATTTACAAGTATACCAGATTCAATACCAATGGTTTTAGCTCAGCACAATACCAAGCAACTGAGTGATGTAAGAATTCTTCATTATTTGTGCAGTATAGTCATTTTCTTTTTTTAATGTGCATATGATATAATAATGGATATTCCATCTTTCAAATTTTTAAATTCTAAAAACTGTACTAGTATTAAAATTGCCATTTATTAGTAAGAATTAAGCATTATTACTTTGCTTATTTGTTAACAATAATATTACCTACCTTGTATTGTTAACAAATATGTTATTTATTCTTTGTTTCAGGTAACATATAAGCAAGAAGGTGAAAAAGTAAAACACAAATACACTCTGGATGCTGATGTTCCACAATTTATTCAAGCCAGGGTCAATGCCTTCAATTTGAGCGATGTGAGCATATAACCAGTATTTCGTTCAATATTATATTTATCACTCTCTTACTAGAAAAATATGCCTTTTATTTATCTATGCTACTACGTTTGAATATACAAATGCAGGTTTTAGGTTAGCAGAACTCTTGCTTCTAGAAGTCAGTGGGTTTTATCTTTGCTAAGCAAAATTTTCAAGTGCTTCTCTGAGTACTAATGAAAATAAACATATTTTGGTGCTTTTTTCCAAAATGCTTGGATATGGTGAAGAAGAAACCTGGTGTAACTTGATTATTAGTTACTAGTTATTCAGTTACTAGTCTACCTGCTTTCCATGACTTTTTGCATCCCTCCAACACTGCAGAGAGCTGCACTGATAATATTGCCTTTATTACCTTGGTAATAGTAATTTTTTGGTGGCATTATCAGACCTCTAGGAACTGGGTAAAAGTTCCCTTTATCCCATGCTGTAAAAAGCTATCAAGTACTGCTAGTCTGTCCAGATGCTACCCACTAATAAAAAACCAGTCAGACTACTTTGCATCACTTAAGACCAGAGGTCCTAATTTTGAAGCTAAACAAAGGAATTTCTAAAGGTTCGAGGAGATGAAAAAGAATTTCGCTTCAGTGGAAGCAAAAGCACTGCTAACAGTTTTTCTGTATAAACATTGCAAAAAATGCCTAAGAAGTTAATCAGTTAACTACATGAATTAAAGTGATTGTCTTGAATTGCTTTTTTATCTTTTTAATAAATTTGTTTTTCATAATATAAATGAAAGTAGTTGTGTAGAGATCTTTTCCTTGCAATTGCACAGCTTAAACTGAATCCTGTCACCTATAATAAAAACGAGTTTCAACAACTTAGTTACAATTACTGTAACTACTTGTAACACTACTAGCTTGTACCATTTTTTTTTCCCTCTAAGGCTAATTACAAAGCAGACTGGAAAAAAACTATTGCCAAAGGATATGATCTGAAACCTGATGCCATTCCTATTATTGCTGCTAAAGCTTCTCGAAACATTGCCAGCGATGTAAGTATTATATGCATAGACAGAAATACAAAGACCTGTTTCATTAACACTTCTGCAGAATATTGTGCAATAAAGCACATTCTATATCCATATAATGAAACAGAGAAGCTTATCTCTGAGAATTGATTTTTTTATGGTACTGGGAAAGTACTGGAAACTTGTGAACTTCAGGAAAAAAAGCTGTTTCTTCAGAAATGAGTCATAACGTAGCTAAGTGCTGGTGAGCTGGAGCTCTTTGTTATGTGGAAACATACTTGAGGTATGCACTGACTTATTTGAAAGTTCCCTTTTTGTAACTTATAACTGCTGTAGAACTGCAGGTCTATTTGCATGGCGTTCATCAGCTGTACAGCAATGTGATTATTATCAGTCAACCTCAGTCAGCTGGCAACAGGAAAGGTCGGTGTTCCATCTGATGCAGGCTAGGAGAGGAGATTGGGAACTCAGAAATAAATTCACTACTGTTAGCAAAAGGCCAAAAATCACTTCGCAATTTCAGCTGCCTCTCCCTAGAATCTGAATGTTGAGTGTCTGTCTATCTGGATGTTTTTTACACTTTTCAATTACATAGTTTTGTGCCAGTGTTTTAATAGAACCCAAATATTCCTCGGAATCAGAGAGCTTTGGCAGTAAAATATAATATGACAGAGACAGTAACAGAAGCAGGCTTTTATTATGTATTTAGATCAAAATCTATACTAGAGTTTAGGACAAGCTGAGCAATCTAGTGACACTCTTCCTTTTCATCTAAATAATCCAAAACAGTCTGAAAAAAAACATTTTATGAGTTTACAGAATGGTTTGCAGTTGTCACGATATTGAATTTAAAAGCTTTAAACTTACTAAAAACATGTCTTTCCTTTCTGAAGTGAATCAAGGTTTCTTTTACTTTATTTCTAGTACAAGTACAAGCAATCCTATGAGAAAGAGAAAGGCAAACAGGTTGGATACCGTAGCTTGCAGGATGATCCCAAACTTGTTCACTACATGAATGTGGCGAAAATGCAATCAGACCGTGAATACAAGAAGGATTATGAAGTCACGAAGACCAAATACCACACTCCCTTGGACATGTTCAGTGTGACAGCTGCCAAGAAAGCTCAGGAAGCAGTCACAAATACAGGCTATAAACAACTAATCCACCATTATACACTCTTACCTGATGCTGTGAACTTGGAACTATCAAAAAATATGATGCAGATTCAGAGTGATGTAAGTAAAATTAAATCATTTCATTTTATACTCTGAGAATTACTGTATTTTTGTATTAACCGAGTAAGACTGAAAAATGAATGGTAGATTGACAATGGATGGGGAAGTGCCGGTTTTAGATCCCTGTGTTTTCTAAAGTTTATCATAATTACGTGTAGTTGTTAAATTCCAGGAAACTTACCTAACAAATAACAATATTCTTTTTAAAAGTCCTCCAACAAATTTGAAATTCTAAAAAAAGGCTTGAACAGCCTGATTGAAAGTGTTCTTCACATTCTAAACTTAGTTTGACTAAGGACAATGGGACAAGTATAGGATCTGAATTTTATTGTTTTTATGTGTCATTCTTTTTATTCTTTCCGAATACAGAAATGTTCCTCTAGGGGTTTTTAGCTTCTCCATTGTATTTTTACTTGTTCTTGCTGAGTTGGCTGAGTTTGCTTGGCTGTCAAACTCAACATTTTTATAAGGAGAGGAAAGTGATACTTTGGGTTGAATTCTGTGCTGCATACATATGCTATAAAAGTATTTGGTCTTTTTGTCAGATTTAAATGTGATGATCTCATTATTTTTAACACGGTACTTCAGAAATATGCTTTATTTTCATAGCATCTTCATATCTTTATTTGTTTTAAAAAACATTTTGTGAAGTATGATTAAATTGGAATGATGACCATTCAAGATTGTGCAGAACGAGGTGATTAAGCCAAAGTTGCTGAAGAAATTTTTCAGTGAATTAATTCTGCTGAAAACTGAACCTACTGACAAACAAGACTGTCATTTAAATGCTGATGGTATTTTTGTCAGTTTTTCATTTTTACCACACAAACTTTGTTCTAAGATCTGTGCATTTGGTTTCCAGTGGTAGTTCTACAATTTGGTTTAGTGAACAGAATTTGTTTGTCCTTAAGTTATCAATAGTTTCTGTATTTTGCTGAGGATTTGGAGACATTAACTGTTCTGGCATAATTGCCTACATTTTCCTTCAAAAAATGAATGACCAGGATAAGTTTTGAGACCTCATCTGTTTTTATGTGTCTGGGCATACTAATTTTCTTTCTCTCCTGCTGTTTTTCCTTGTTTATTTTTAAAAGAATGTCTACAAAGCAGATTTTAATAACTGGCTAAGAGGAGTTGGTTGGCTGCCAATTCAATCACTGGATGTCGAAAAGGCCAAAAAAGCTACAGAGATTCTTAGTGAAAAGAAATATCGCCAGCACCCAGACAAGCTGAAATACTCCATTACGATGGATGCCATGGAACAGGTGCTTGCTAAACACAATGCCAACACCATGAATAAGGTGAGACTATTTTAAGATGGTCATGATTGAGCTGGTGTTAGGTCTTTCACACGCAAAATTGTCTTGTGGTTACATTCCCACTGACGTAACTAGAATCCCAAATGAATATAGTGATTTGCTTGGATAGGACTGTGCAGTTTATACAGATTGAAGCCCCAGGCTGGACTCATAATTACAAGTGTTTCACTTTTTAGTTACAAAGTTAAGAGCTTTCTCCTCCGTATGTGGTTAGAGATGCCCTCTCCAGATCTATAGCACTTATGAAACCTAATAATCAGCTGAAAAAAAAAAAAAATTTGTATAAGTACTTTTTGGAAGTGGGAATACTTTGATATGTAACCCTAGTATTTGGAACACCAAAGATCCTTATCCATGTTTTCTGTGAAAATAGGGTACAGGAAAGAAATATGCTTTGCATTTAAAGATACAAAACAGGAAAAAAATGCAGACTGAAGTTTTTCATTTTCAGTATGGATTAGTTATCAAAACACACTGCAGATTTGTCAGATGAAGTACAAAAAAAAAAGAATATAATATAGCTAGCTTTCAGTTATATTTGTGAAGATTATTTATAGTGTTTATGGACTTTGTACTGCAAAATATTATTTATTACACATGAGCAAAATGAAAGCAAGCTCTTGTTTTATTAATATGAAGCCTTTCCAATGCTAAATGCAACTTTGTAATTGCAGAGGAGCTACACTGATAAATGGAACAAAGAGAAGACCAGCATTCATGTTATGCCAGACACTCCAGAAATTCTGCAGTCTAGAGTGAACCAGATCAACATGAGTAATGTAAGCTATCATAATCAAAGTGAACATTCAGTGTCTGTTACGAATCACAAATAAAAAGTTGGCATAATTTTTTTGTCTCTTGTGAAAATACTTTCACTATCTTATTAGAATAACTGTTTCCTTTTATATTTTAAATTAGAAACTATACAAAGCTGAATGGGAAGAAGACAAGAAGAAAGGTTATGATATGCAGCCAGATGCTATTCCAATAAAAGCAGCCAAAGCCTCGAGAGACATTGCAAGTGATGTAAGTTTTGTTCCCTGGTAACACTCAGAGAAGCTGATTATTTCACCTGTAAACCCAATCAGATATTTTTCAAAGTGCTGTATTATGCACAATTGTGTTTTTTCAAGCATTTTGAATCATCTAAGTTTCAATTATATGCTTGCCGTGGTAGACGTTTACTCTCTCTCTCAGAGGTATTTTGTCTCCTGTAGAATAATACTGAACAGTGCATTTTGCTGAGCTTCATATGCTTTTGTTCAATGGGCTTTTTGGTGAGACTGAACAAGTTTAAGCCTGAAGACCAATGAAAAAGAACTTGTGATTAAGAAAAAAAAATAAGTATTTTGTAATATTTTCTAAGTTCTAGAGAAAAATAGAGTCTAATGACATAATGCATTTTTTGATTTAAGTTTTTGCTGCTCTTTGTCTTTCCTCCTGTCAGTATAAATACAAACTAGCCTATGAAAAAGCAAAAGGAAAGCATATTGGGTTCCGCAGCCTTGAAGACGACCCGAAGCTGGTTCACTTCATGCATGTGGCTAAGATGCAGTCTGATCGTGAATACAAAAAAGATTATGAGAAGGCAAAAACTAATTTCCACACTCCGGTGGATATGCTCAGTGTTGTGGCAGCTAAGAAGGCACAGGAAGTGGCTACAAATGCAAACTACAGAAATTTGATCCATATTTACAACGTTTTGCCTGATGCTATGAGTCTTGAATTAGCCAAAAACATGATGCAGATACAGAGCAATGTAAGTGTGACTTTTCAACTGTTGCATTGCCAATGAAATCATGTTTAGCTTATGAATGAATACTGTAAAATAGCAGAATTTTCTTAGCAAAATTTGTTCAGTTATGTATGAATATGTAGGAAATAAAATGAGGCTTCTAGCAATGATAGTGATTGTATATTTCTCAGACTGCTCTGAAATACTAATTTACGTCTGTTGCAAAAGAATATGGCCTGAGAAATACATCATTTTATTTATAAGTTACGTGTATGTTTATTGCTCATATGTCCAGTCAGGCTCTTTAGGAACAATTCTGAATGCAGGCCAAGGCAGAAAAGGCTTCACTTTTCACTAACAGTGTTAACTTGTACTTTCTAAAAAGATGCCCTTTCAGAAAAAGGGGAAACCAGCTAGGCAGCTGTGCTCAATGACTTCTTGGGATGTTAAAATTCTAGAGGAGATAGGTTGTTATTTATTTTGTTCTTCAGGTTTATGCATAATGGTTTAGGTGAACCCTCTTCTTCCAGAGGGCCTAATTATGTAATCTCATGCCAGCAATCTGTCATCAGGAGGATCTGAACAATGTATGAAAGACAGGATAATAATAAAAAAAGATAACCACTGTAATAAAAATATTATTTATAAATAAGTCCTGGATACATCTTAGTACTGTATAGTTCCTTTCAGAATAAGTGCATTCTAAATCTAATATTCGTTAAACACTTAAGAGGTATCATGATTGTAGACTTATTCATATATCTGATTATTTTCTTTTCTTTCTGCTTCCAGAATCAATACAAAGCAGAATATGATGAAAATATGAAGGGTGTTGGATGGATGCCATTGGGATCTTTGGAAGCTGAGAAGAACAAAAAAGCCATGGAAATTCTCAGTGAAAAGAAATACCGTCAGCACCCAGACAAGTTGAAATACTCCATTCCTATGGATTCCATGAACATAGCCTTAGCTATAAATAATGCGAAAATCATGGATGAGGTAAGAAAGTATTTTTAAGTTGGCAGGAATAAAAACAAATTATACTTGATCTAATCTTACTGTGTGAGCAACTTCGGAAAGTGTCAGTTTTGGCAACTAATAAAATGCTTAATTGTCATCATATTAACCTTAATAGAGTTTGCTATACTTGAAAGCAGACCTTGACTGAAGTGTTTCTGAAAAATGCATAGACACACACACCTGGAGATCACATAATGTTCTGTAAAATTTGCCCAACCTAGCAGATTTAAGAGTTTTAAGAGTTTAGCTTTAAGGGCTGGAAGTGTGAGTGTGGTCCATTTTGAAAAAAGGATTAAAAATTTTAAATGTATGGTGTATTTTTGTCTGATGCTTGTTTCATTGATATGAAATTGCTCTATAATATGAATGTATTTTAATGAAATAATTTCTGATTCTCCTGCTGACCTGCCATTATCCACTTGCGTCCACTAAAAGTTTCTAGTGTTCATGTGTGCTTAAATGATAACCAGAATTTTAGGTGCACATCTCTTAGCTCAACTTCCTCCAAGAAAAACTCTACTACCTCTTTTAATTGATATTTGTTTTCCAAGTAATAATCCTCCATTTCAGACCAAAGAGCCTACTTTTATCAATCTTTATATATACCTCTGACTTGGGTTTGAAACATGTTTTTTTTATGCTAATGATTGTTGCTAACACTGTTAGAAAAGCAGGATAATAATGTGGCAAGATTGGCATTTCTTCCGTTTTTATTTCTGCCTTACATATTAACTTAATGAACTATTTCTCATTCATAGTGTTTGTAAGTAATGAAATTAAAATACAAATATTCCTACCAGACTAGCATCATCTTCAGGTTCATATCTCAAAAGAAAAATTGCATTTAAAACAGGAAATTACTTTAATAGGAATAATTATATTTAGTTTTTGATTGAGATTGTTATGTTGGCATCTTTCTTTTATCTTCCAGCACCAATATAAACAAGCATGGGAAGAAGACAAAAAGAAAATTCATATCACACCAGATATTCCACAGATTGCTTTAGCAAAAGTCAATGCATTTAATATAAGTGATGTAAGTACTGTCTGCAAGACTAATAATTTGCTGCTATTTTTATTAGGAATAAATGTGGTGACATCATAGGAAGGTGTCTGTAATTCTTGCTTTGCTAACTTGTGCTAGTTTGCATTAAAAAAGCTATTTATTTTTATTTTGCCCTCTTCCTCTTTGAAATTAAATGTAAAATGTTGTAAAGAAAAAGTAGCATAGTATTTATGGACATATTATCAAATATAAATGTAGATAAGTAAAATATAATAGTTATTAACAAAATAATAGAGTTATTCATGTTCGTTATTGTGTTTATTATTATTATTACTAGTGCACAAAATTGTGTAGTGGATTCAAAATTCTTTTTTTACATTAAATCTATTTTTGTGTAACGAATGATACTATAGCCACTTTTTTCAGTAGCTGGTGGTTAAATCTGTGTATGCTAAATAAAGAATTGTTTGTAATTATGCAACTCTTATGGTGCACATAAATAGACATATTTTTCACATTTTATAGAAAGATAATAGGTGCAGCTAAACCAATATTTGTGCATGTGGGAAACAAACATAATTACTTCCTCTACTGTTATAGATTATGTTACTCATTATAGTTTCATTAAACTGCATTGATTTATAAGAGCTAGGACTGGAATTTGAAGGAATACTGAGGTTTTTAAGTGCCTGATTGCTTTAGACAGCTCTTGAGAGAGTGTTAAAACATATAAATAGTCTGTGTTTCAAGTTACTGTATTCATTGCTGTATATAATGAATAGTTTTTTATAAGTGTTGGGTGGTTTGTTTTTTTTAAAGAACATCTCTTTTCTTCCATTTCACAGAAAATGTACAGACTTTCCTTTGAAGAAGCTAGGAAGAAAGGGTATGATCTCAGAGCTGATGCTATCCCTATTAAAGCTGCCAAAGCTTCCAGAGACATTGCTAGTGATGTAAGTTCTTAAAAGAGAAAGTATCCCATTTCAGATGTTTTAAAGCATTAATTTCTTGACATTATACATGTGGTGTGAAATTAAGGCCCATCTCTGTATTTTTTTTGCAGTATAAGTATAAATTAGGTTATGAACAAGACAAGGGAAAACTTGTAGGCTTCCGCAGTCTTCAGGATGATCCCAAGCTTGTCCATTACATGCAAGTGGCGAAGATGCAGTCTGATCGGGAGTACAAGAAAGCCTACGAGACAAGCAAGACCCATTACCAAACACCTTCTGATGCCCTCAGTATCATGGCAGCTAAGGAGGCACAGGATCGTGTAACCAACGCTAACTACAAGCGACTCATTCACAACTATATGCTTCTACCAGATGCCATGAGTTTAGAGCTGTCCAGAAACATGAATCGGATACAAAGTAATGTAAGATTCTTTTTTCTTTCTAACTATCATTCACATACGTGGCTTTTTTTCCTCTTTGATCGTTATGACTGTTTTGGAAACAACAGAATTACTTAGAATGTACTGTCTGTAGAGTGTAAACTTGCCTTTCGTGATCTGTTTGGCAGAATGAGTACAAACAGGAATACAATGACTGGTATAAGGGTGTGGGCTGGAGTCCTGCTGGCTCTCTTGATGTGGAGAAATCTAAGAAAGCTACAGAAATTGCAAGTGACCGGAAATACCGCCAGCATCCCAGCATGTTCCCCTTCAAAAAAGAGAACGAAGCCATGGACATGGTGCTTGCAAAGCACAATGCAGGGATAATGAATAAAGTGAGTATTTATGGGGAAAGTTACTTATCAAATATAGTTTGTTTTAATAAACATTGCATGAGCCTATATCAACACCTGTATGTAGGATTGTCTCCCCAGTAAAACCAAATAGAGCCAAAATGAAATAGCAACTTACAGATTCTTCTCGTTTCAGTTTTTTCTTAGCTGAATCGCTCAAGTACTGCTAAATAGTACAAATAAATAAATAAATCTGTTCTTATTTTTGTCAAAGCCATCTATCTTCTATTCATTTCATGCTTATGTAAAAATTATTTTTAATTCCGGGAAAAGAAACAGATAATTTTTCCTGCAAACCAGTGATGTTCTGTTGGAATACTTAGGCAGTATATACTTTATCATGTTATGTTTATTCATTGACAAACCAAATTACAAGTTTTAAATATTTTTAGCATTTCAAGTCAAGTCAAAGAATTTCATTTGATTTTTCGGTGATTAAGCATTACAATTAACCTGGCTGATAGGGATACTGTGGGATGGCCTTGAATTGAAAGGTTTTAGGCCTCTTTGAATACAGAAGGGGAACTGTAGCTCCTGAAACCCTGCTGGGGGAACCCTAAAACCGTGCCTGCTGAGAGAGCATTAGAACTCTCTGGGTCCATAGATCCTGAAAATCTTGATATGTAGTCCTCACTAGAAGCAAGGATCTTCTAATTCAGAAGACCAGATCCTCATTTGTCTAGGTCTGGATTAGGTCATTGCATAGTATAATAAACCTGAGACAACATTGTCTTCTTTTGCCTTCAATAATCAAAATGCACAAACAAAAAGATGAAAACCTAAAAAGCCTTCCTTTTCATTTATATGAACACATCTGACACTTTTTTTTTTCAATAGCATGATTATATTCAAGCTTGGGAGAAGGATAAAACTCAGATCCATGTGATGCCAGATACACCGGATATTCTACAGGCTAAACAGAACAGTGCAAACTACAGCCAGGTAGTGTTTTTTAGTACGATCTATTACATTTTAAATTGATGTATGCTTTCTTCAAATGTAAAGGTGCCCTCCCATTTCACAGTTAAATATTGTTAGTTTGTCTAAGTAAAAGAAAGTGGGGGGACATTTTAAAGCAGGAAAGAATTTTGATGCTGCTCTGAGTAGCAGTGGTTACTGTCTTCACAAATAGCCTAATTTATGGTAAAATACATGGGTGTGGAAACCTGTTTTGAACTCCGCAAGTACTTAAACCATACTTTATGCATGCCATAGGAATCAATCACATTACAATGAGTTACTATAAAAATACAAGTCCATTGTGCATATTTTTAATTTAATACGGAGAATAAGCATGTGCAGTGATTTTAACTTTTCTTTCATCTTTCAACTGCTAGTGACAATTATGTAGCATAAATTACTTATTTTTTGCTTTGCATTATTGCTCACAGGTGAGTCTTTCACTTGCAAGCACTTAAATCAGTTGTACACAAGCTGAATTGACTACTTAACAGCTATGTGACAGCATCATTAGCTAAAATTTTGTTAAAGCAATCAAAATTTTTTTAGTTATCCCGGATGTACAGAATTAAATTCTCCACATACTTTTCTAGTCCCCAAAATAAGCTGTAGTAGGAAACTGCTGTCATAAGGAAAACTATTTAATTGCTGGCCTAAGACTTGGAAGACTTGAGCCCCTTGTCTGTTAGTTTCCCTTTTGCATTCCCTTTCTAGTAGCCCTTCTGTTATAACTGAAGCATGTGTGATGTCCAGGTAATACGGATCACAGGTATATTGAAATAGAAAGTGACAAATAAACTACTAAGGCTTTTTCAATTAAAATTTCAATTGAGATTGTTTTCAATTTTAGAAACTGTACAAGCTCGACTGGGAAGAAATGATAAAGAAAGGCTATGACCTCACACCTGAAGCCATTTCAGTGAAAGCTGCCAAAGCTTCAAGGGACATTGCAAGTGATGTAAGCAATGCTTAATTCAGTCTGCCGTGCACTTCATGTAATTGCTATACCCTACTGAGGCTCCCTAGATGCCTCCCTAGATGCAGATCCGTCTGTCTGCTAAGGGGTGCCTTCAAATAAAACACAAAATTGCTAAAAAGACTCTCCCTGAAATGCTGTAGCCAGTGAAGAAAGCATTTTGAGAGAATTGTTCTTGCATCTTGGGACTTCCAAAGATTGCGGCCCATCCATGAAATAGCTAGTCATACAAAGTTAGGACCTCCATGCTCTTTTGAATATTACATTTTTAAAACAACAGAAAATTTGACCAGTGCCAGTCCTGAGAAATACCGTTTCTGTTTCTGGCATAGATTTGCTGAAACATGTATTCCTAGTCTTTGTTACTTGATCTAAACACAACTGCATTTCTAGAAGAGATTTTGCTGATAATTAGAAAGTGTTTTTGTTACGTGTCTGTGTTTTCCAACGCTGGTTACTTTATTCATTAAAACATTGCAACAAGTCAGCCTTTGGAAGGTCAGAAGAGCATGACTGTAAATCAGGTGGCACAGGAGACATTCTCGGAGCCACGCACTCTTCCTTTAAAGAGGTTGTGTTTATTTCCAGGAATGGTGTTCACTGACATTAAGCAGGGTTATGCATGTGACTCAAGGGGCTATTGAACTGTTTACATTAGATGATATAACAGGTTGTTCATTATTATTGGTAATGTGCAACATTAAATGAATATATTGATGCTTTGCTTGTATATTTTATCACTGCCTTATTCTTAATGCAATTCCAGTAATATAACCTTTGTAATTTTAGTACAAGTACAAAGAAGGATACCGCAAGCAACAGGGACATCACATTGGATTCCGCAGCTTACAGGATGATCCAAAGATGATGTGGTCGATGCAAGTAGCTAAGATGCAGAGTGAGAGGGAATACAAAAAAGATTTTGAAAAGTGGAAGACTAAGTTTAACATGCCTGTGGATATGCTGGGCTTCCTTCTGGCTAAGAAATGTCAGGAACTTGTGAGTGATGCAGACTACAAACATATTCTACACCGCTGGACTTGTCTGCCAGACCAGAATGATGTCATCCAAGCAAAGAAGGTCTACGAACTACAGAGTGACGTAAGTTTCCTCTGGAATTAAATCCTTGACTTTTTTTCTCTCTCTCTTTTTAAATAAGGTATTCACTGCTTCTTGAAAAGTAATAACTCCCTTTGGATGTTGATATGGAACAGATGAAAGCTACCAAGCTTAAAATGTCAATTCCTCTTTTCACACGGTTTAGTAGAACAACATGGAAATAACCTATTACGATTTGATTTTTTTCCCTAACAGAATCTGTATAAAGCAGATCTACAGTGGCTCAAGGGTGTTGGATGGAGTCCCTTGGGATCTTTGGAATCTGAAAAGAACAAGAAAGCTGCTGAAATTCTGAGCGAGAAGAAGTACCGGCAGCACCCAGATACTATTAAGTTCACAAGTGTCCCAGATGCCATGAATATTGTTTTAGCAAAATCTAATGCCAAAAATAGAAGTGATGTAAGTTACCTTTCTCTAAAGGCAGAACATGTAAATTGATAAGTAAATGAATACATTAGTATACACTAGAGTTCTCCATGTATGAACATGGGATTAAAATATGCAAAATATCAGATTTTTGCAATCTATACTTTATTACTCATTTATCAAGGTCTTTAGGGTTCTATAATTTATTCAGTATAACCTGCAAATCAGATGCTTACTATATAGACTATATGTATCATGGTGTACACCCTCATGGGTGTAAAGAAGGAAAAAAGATGGTATAAGATGGTACATTATTTCATTCAAATGTCTTGCATTGTTTATATTGTAGATAACATTTATACTTGTAGATTACATCTTTGTGTTGCTATTGAGGAGAAGAGGAAAGCTGAATTCATTGATATTTATGTAAGCATTTTATCAAACAGGGTATTTTTGTTTCTTTCTTTTTTCAGATACTGTATAGAGAAGCATGGGACAAGGACAAGACTCAGGTTCACATCATGCCCGATACTCCTGAAATATTGCTGGCTAAATCAAACTTAATCAACACAAGTGATGTAAGTGTCTCTCTACAATATGTGATTTATGAAATCTGGAATTATCCTTTGTGACTTCCATTTAAAATGCAGTACAGAAATTCTGGAATTTTACCCATTTTAAACAAACATGAGTTTTTTCTGTGAATAGTGTTGTGCATTGGGATGCATGACTGAAATTTCTGCAACGTAGACTAGAAGTGGAATTGCTAGAATATTAAAAAAGAAAAGAAAATGAAAATATTCAACACAAGGTAGCTGTTTTCAGATACATGTCTTTCATTCCTACTGATCATGTTAATATCAAGTGAATCCCTGTATATAGAATCACTATGGTCAGAAGAGACCTTCACGATCATTTAGTCCACCTGTAAGCCCTTCAGCATATGTCTAAATATCATTGAATATGTGTCTATCAACTCTTGTTTTGTTAAAATTTCTGATTATATTGAACTATATTTTTAGAATTACGTACTATTACATCAAATTATTTGTTATAATGGAACAGATATAAAATATATGCAAAAGGGAAAGAAATGTTTGCATTTCTATTCAAGAGAAGAGATAATTGTCATTGAAACTGTAAGAAAGTCGATAGATTGTATCATCTATCTCCCTAGGAAGCCTTATTATGCAGTATGTCAAGTAAAAAGCAACATCAATCACAAATGAGTTAATTGGACAACTTACTGATAGATATTTTCAAATATCTTCTGCCATTAGTTACAAAATATAAATTAAACTGTTGGAAATCATTATATGAATGAAAATGTATTTGAAATCTCATAAGATAGCAGGGGAGTAAAGGTCTATCTTAAAGGCTCAATAATTTCACATTTTTGTCAATATTACTTTGAATCTCTATTGAACAGAAACATTACAAGTTAGGATATGAAGAACTGAAGAAAAAAGGCTATGATCTTCCTCCTGATGCCCTACCGCTGAAGGCAGCAAAGGCATCCAGAGAAATAGCTAGTGAGGTAAGAGTTTCACTGACTGGAAAGAAAGGAAATAATATGACATTAAGCTGATAAAAATCTCTGCAGTAAGATTTTTTTTTTTTAAAGGGGAAACAAGTGTGGCATTCAAACCTTATGTAGCTCACTTTCCAAGTGGATACATTATTCTTAGGGCTGTTAAAAAAATATAAAAGAAATAGAAGATTCAACATATACAAATAAAATAAATTTAAAAAGCTAAAGTATGGTGGGGGTTAAATAAAACCGCTAAAAATATGATTGAGGACTACCCTAAATATTAAAAATATATGACTTCCCATCATGGCAAGTCCAAAAAATATATTACATGGAAATTTATGTTCATATTCATATGCTTAGAGAAAAGTGAATTTAGATTGCAGATAAAAAGAAAAATTAAAAAGTGAAAATTAATGTTTCTGATTTCATTCCACCAGTATCAATATAAAACAGCTTACCGGAAGCAGCTTGGCCACCATGTTGGAGCACGCAACATAGAGGACGACCCCAAGATGATGTGGTCCATGCATGTAGCCAAAATCCAGAGTGACCGTGAGTACAAGAAGGCCTTTGAGAAGTCCAAGACCCACTTCAGTACCCCGGTGGACATGCTGGGAATTGTGTTGGCAAAGAAATGCCAGGAGCTGGTCAGCGATGTGGATTACAAGCATCCCCTGCATCGGTGGACCTGTCTGCCAGACCAAAACGATATTGTACAGGCCAGGAGAGTGTACGACCTGCAGAGTGATGTAAGCTGTTCTTTCCTGGATGTGTTCCCATGGGATGTGACTGTTGTGCTAGGTCCATTAGTGGAGGAGGTAGAGGGGAGGAGCATAAGTGTAATGTTATTGTGGGGGCTTGTTCCCAAGGTGACCATCTTGGCTTTGTGGGAGTTTTTGAGTGAGCCCCATGAGGGCAAAGATTGTGTGGGTCATACATGACGGTCACAGTTTGCATCAGACACCTTTCTGTTGGTGTGCTGAGCGTAAGGGGATTCCATCCCTCTGTCTGCCAGGCTGAAGGCAGGGGCTCTCCTTGCTTGGTGCTGCTGGCCTTGGTAGGCAGGAGCTCTGTGTGTGTGGAGGAGATGGCTGAGCTGCCTGGTGTGCTTGTGTCTCCTCTCAGAACGTGTACAAGTCGGACCTGCACTGGCTGAGGGGCATTGGCTGGACGCCGAGCGGTTCGTTGGACGACGAGAAGAATAAGAGAGCCGGCCTCATCCTGAGCGAGAAGAAGTATCGGCAGCACCCGGGCACCATCAAATTCACGAGCCCTCTGGACTCGATACCAATGGCTCTGGCGAAGCACAACTCTGAGATTATGAACCACGTGAGTTGTGCTTCCCTCTGGAGCTGGGAGGAAATGGGATCCTTAGGAAAAAAGAGGCACGCTGCCCTGCCAGGGGGTGATCATTGCTGGTGGGTCCTGTGCCCCACTACCTGAGGGGCTGGTGTTCTCTGGAGAATGTTCTGTTTTC